GCGTGCGTGAAAGTAAGTGAGTATCGTACTCGGTGATTAAATGTGGGGAAGCTGAGGTCTTTGGGGAGTAAAGCTGTGTAAATAGAGGGCTGAGCACTGCCAGGGAGGCTGGGCTTTTCTATGCCTCCCGTTCCCTGCTCCATCTCCCTCTGCCGTGGAGATGCGCCCCGTGAGCCGGTGGAGTCGTGGTTTTAATGCGGCGGACTCTCCAGCCTCTTTCACCTCTGTGTAATGGAGGGAAGTTCTCCCATCTGTGGGGAGTCTGGGGTACGCGGAGGCCAGTCTGACCCCGCTGGGGGGAGGAGAGGGGGGGGCGGGGGGTGATGCCGGAGCCCTGCCCTGCTCGTTGGACCCTGTTTGGGGCCACCGGCGCCGCCTGTGCTCACCGTGATGCTCGGTTGTCGTCCCAGGCCCCGTGACCCCCGATGCCAGCAGCGAGAGCAAGTTCTTCAGCGATCCTTCCGAGAAGGCGGCCGTCACCATCCAGACCCACTTCAGGAGATACCAGCAGCAGAAGCAGGCGAAGAAGTAGACGCATCAGCCACCCACGTCCCCTGCACCGTCCCTCCTTTTGTCTGTTCTGTACCCCGGAGAGATTTGTGGCCGTGGTGACCGTGAACCTGCTCCCCGATACATAGCTTGTGGTGCATGCGCAGCTGTAGATACTCCGCTGTTGGTGTTGGTCGCCGCTCGGAGCGAGGTCTCTTTCCTGGTCAGCCCTTCCCCAGACAGCAGCGCCTAGTGGGCCAGGGTACAACTGGCGAGGGGCTGTTTGGTGGGACCTCAGCACCCGGGGAGTGACGCAGCACTGAGGAGCCTTTCCTCGGTGGCAGCACCCACAGCTGTGCGGTGGCTGGCCGTTGGGCCGCAGCCAGTTTAAGACCCGGCAGCTGCGGGAGCGGGGCCCCGCGCAGCTGATGGCGATTGTGGCTGGCTGGTCGCTGCCCAGCTGGGGCTCGCTTCGCCCAGCAGTAGCCCTCCCCTGTGCCTCCACCTCCATTGTGCCTCTGGAGCTGGGGCGGAAGGACTGCCTTTGTCCCCTGCTCCAGGCGGCTGGTTTGTGGAGCTTCTGAGCACGGCGTCCGGGAGCGGGATGTCACCGCGGGGGCATGCCGCAGGCAGCGAAGGGAGCAGGAGCGGAGCCGTGTGCTGACCGTGAGCTGATCTTTCACTTTTCTTGGGGAGGACTGCTCGGGGTGCCCTGGTTTCAGAGCAGGGACGGGGTGGGACTCTGGCTCCTGTGGCTGCATGTGCCGAGGCTGAACCCCGCTCTCTGCGGAGTCGGGCTCCTTCCCGAGAGCAGCCCTCTGCTAGCTCTGGCTTTTGGGTTAGCGCCCACGGTCACCCAGCCACCCCGTCCTGGTGTTTGGGTCCGGTGAGGCTGAACAGAGACCTGCTCCCAGTTGGGCCGCAACAGGACCCCGAGGGGTTATCATCTTGGGGGTTTTTTTTGAGTGCTGCCTTTTGGAGGCTGCAGAGGTGATGAAAAAGAGGGAACGCGAAAGCACCGAGCTGTGGGCCAGCAGAGAGACAGGGGGAGGTTTGCTGTGAGCAGGGAGGGTGGGAGAAGTTGGTGAGGAGGCGCTGCGTGCTGTGGCACGGTGGGCGCTCTGAGGGAAGGAGCGGGGCGCGGAGGAGATGCTGGCTGTGACCAGCGCCGCTCTGACCGCCTGAGCGTGGTCTCCGCTGCCTCTTTGCTGGGTCTGCCGCTGGATTTTCCTGTGCAGGGCTGCTGAGCTGTGCCCGTAGAGCCCTGGCTGCTCGCGGGCTGCCCTTCCTGTCCTCTCCAGCCACAAGCGTCCTCAGCTTGTAAGAGCCGGTGCGTGTTGGGTGTCTGGCTTCTGCTTGTGCGGCGTGCTGATCCTCAGCTTGTAAGAGCCAGTGCGCGTTGGGTGTCTGGCTTCTGCTTGTGCGGCGTTACTGCCTGCTGGTTGTGGCTGGCAGCCGGTGCTGCTGGCGGCTCTTCTCTGAAGGTGCGTTAGGAGGGCAGGGCTGGTGACGGCTTGGTCTGTCGCTCCGCGGTGGGGTGAGCTGCCAGGCTCTGCCGCGGGCAGGTCTCCCCGGGGCCGAGCTAGCTGACACCAGGAGGTGTGTGCCGCGTGTAACATGGTGTCTGGGGGTTCGGCCGGAGCGCTGTGCAAGGCAGCTCGTAAAGCAGCCCTAAAGCCAAACCAGCTCTCTGGATTTATGAGCTTGAGGGGTTTTTTTGCCCCTTTCCGGTTCAAGGCGGAGTTTGGCTCGGGTGGCTTGAATTGCTGTGCACCGTAACCAGCCAGGAGGACAGCCGATGCGGGGAGAGTCTACTGCCGTGGTGCAGGGCAGCGGCCTCGCTGGGAGCCGGGGGGATGCCGGGGTCTCACGGATGAGTGCTGCAAGTTTGGACGGTCTTACCAACCCTGGCTTTGCATTGTTTGCTAACTGCTGGGTGGCGAATTCTTGCTACGATGTAGAAGGAAATCTGTACTAGCCAATTACAATAAAGATGTAATAATTGGTGTTAATCGGTTCTTCCTTTTAGCTTGCTAATCCACTTACTTTGACAGCTGAGAACACAGTTGCCTCTTCTTGCCTCTTCTATTTAAAGGCTGGGATTGGCATTTCTGTGGTGCTGCTGCATGGTTGCCTAGCCGTGACACTGCTCTGAGGTGGGGGTGGGCGCTTGGGTCCGTTCAAAACCTTTACGTGGTACAGATTTTAAAGCTTACCGTGCACTGAACTTCTTTTTGCAATCCTTAGGAAAATGCCTGAGAAATGCTAGTTTGCTTGTCAATGCTCTCCACTGGTCTCGGGGAGAGACAGAAGGGGCAGGGGCTGCTTTCGCTCGGTTGAAGGCAAATGCTAACCAGTGTAAGACAGACCGGATTTCGGGAGGAGCCGGCGCGGGCTGTGACGTGCAGCCCCTGCCGGGGGGACCCATCGGGTCCCCCCCTGGAGCGGCGAGAGGGTCGCCAGCCCGTCAAGTGCGCTGCGACAGCCTGCCCGGGAGAGTAGGAGGGGATGTGTCAGCCGGGAGGGTCCCAGGACTCTGCGGATGATGGGAAAGGCGGACTCGCTGGCGGCCGGTTGCTGCAGGTCCCCCAGCCTCTCTGGCTCCTCGGTATTTTCCCCTGACCACTTGCGGTGAGGTAAGCCGAGCCGAGCAAGCTCCTCCTGGTTCGAAGAGGCCCCGTCCGAGCTGCGTCAGCACTCGGTCGCCTGGCTCGTGCTCCGCGTGCAGATGCCGTACAAAAGCCCTGCGCTCCTTGCGTGCTAAATTGGAAACTCGCGTGTGGTGTGGTCTCCAAAAACCTGTTAAAACTGCATGAATAAGAAAACTCCTGCATAGAAGTAAATGCTAATTCAGAACAGATCTTTGGCTTTGTTCGGGTTAGGCGGCTTCTGCAGTACTTACTTACCTCCTCGGGATTCAGAATAAAACCCCCCATGTCATGCATGGATTTGGAGGCTGGCCGAGTGCTCGTGACATGAATTCTTAGTGCATGAAAGCCGAGGGCTCCAGGTGCAGGGCGGTAACCCAGACCCTCTTGCCGAGCCTACGGGGAAGCTGCTGGCAGAGGCAGAGCAGCTCGAGCAGCGGTTCTGGCAGAGGAAAGGCAATGTCCTGGAGCGGCGTGGTTCCCCAGAAGCAATCTCTCTCTATCTGTCCCTCAGGAAAGCTTTACAGGGAAGTAAAGTATTGATGGGGGTTTCAGTGCAGAAACACCAGTGGGAAATCTCAACCCCGGCACTTGTGGCTTCGGGCGTGATCCCGGGTGCCTTCCCACCGGCCTACTGGGGAAGCGTGCTCCTCTCCACCCGGGATGCTCCTCGGCAGAGGATGGCTCTGAGTGGCGCCAGAATAATCGCCAAAACTGAGGGAAAAAAAAAAACAAAACCCAGGCACAAGACATCGTCGTAACAGCTTGTTTCCCGAGCCTCAAGAGCGAGCAGCTGCCAGGCTACGGCCAAGGCACTTTCAGCTCTTCTTCCCGATTTAAGGAGGCAGAACCAGATGGCGAAGGAGGATCTGGCGACACGTCTGGCAACACAAGCGGCTACGGGAACCGCAAGCTGGAAATGGGAGTTGCAGGTAATGTCACCACCAGCAGCACCCATCGCTTTATTTGCCTATCACTGCTTGGGTGGTTCATTTTAACTTCTTGTAATACCTCTCCTAGCGTTGTTTTTGTGTCTTTCTTAGCACTCTGTAGCACTTGGTTATAACCAACTGACACGTTAAAACCAGCACTTCTTTCAAGAGGAAAAAACAAACTAGCAGTTGGAGCATCTATGCCTAGACTTTTACCAGTCTCTTTTTTTTAAGGAAATGAATGTTTTCATCACTTCTCCATCCATGCTTGCTACCCTCCAGTTCCATCCCTCCTTTCCTTTAAAATAGGAAGCTTATTTCTGGAGATTTATAGTTTAGATTAACTTACCTATTTGTGTAAAGCGCAGTTAGTTACTCGGACCTCAGATAGCACCAGAGCCTCCTCTGGAAGGCGAGGTTCTACTTTGGGTAATGAAAACAACTGGGAATAACAGCCTTAGCTATTTTTGTCTTGCTGGGGTGGCAGAACAGGGAAGGCAGGCTGCCGGCCCCAGGCTGCTTGCCTTGGCTGTCGCCGCTGCTCTTGTTTTCGCGGTCAGATGTGCACGTAGGAAAGGTATAAACTGCACTTCTTTGGTGGTTAATTGCTACGGCTGGTGGTAAAAGCCAAGAGGAAAATAAGAGCAAATCAAGGTGGGGGGGGGGGCTGCACTGAGCTTCACTGGACTGTACCGCCCTGTGCCGTGACCTGGCGGAGCTCTGCCGTGGTTCACTGTGCCGTGGTGTGCCGCGATGCCCTTGCGTCCTGGGGGAGCCGTGCGGTGTTCTACTGTCCCGTGCCATGGTTCGCCACGACGGGAGGCAGCGACACCACGATTCACGGCACTGTGCTGGGTTCACCGGGCTTCACGCTGTTCTGCGCCTCACCACGACGCACCGTGCTTCACTGCTCCACCACAATTCATCACGCTCAGCTGCGACCGGGGACAACTGTGCTGCGCTTCACCTCCTGCGCCCGTGCCGTGCCCGCGCAGTGCTGCAACGCATCAGGGAACGAGAGCCTGCTGTCAGCGAGTGGCCGTGCCTCACCGGACCGGATTCACGCGTGATGCTGGGAGCTGCACCACACTTACTTACCCTGGGCTGCCGGAGCAACGCCGGGGCCGTGCCATGGCTCACGAGGGACGGTGCAGCAGTTGTTCACCCCTCCTGGCTTCGCTGTCCTGCACGGCGGTCCATCCGGCTGGGCTGGAGCTAGCTGGCGGTTTGGCACGGCTGGGCTGGACTTGCTGGGCAATAGGTGCCGCTCGCCTGGGGCCGCGGGTGCTGTGGCACGGCCGGGCCGTTGCTGGGGTGTCCGTTCCCGGGACCCTGCTCCCCTCCCTTCCCCTCCTCCTGTCCCGTGCTCTGCAGGCTGGCAGAGCTCAGCGGTACTTGGCGCCGCGTGTCCCCGGGCTTCTGCGGCACGCGTTTGTTCTGGACGGATCGGGGCTGCCCCTCGCCGTCCCCCCATGACGTCCTGCCCCAGCCCCGGCTCCTGCCCCGCTCACTTAACAAACGCCCACGTATAAACATAACCTTTATTGCACACAGCGCTGGGTTTTTTTTCATAGAAAAAGGTATTAACACATATAAGCATTTGCAAATCGAAGCAACTCCTGTTGTTTTCAGAACAGTAAAATAGCATGCAATGTCTTTGAGACGTTCCTTTGTAAAACCACCGACAAGATCAGGGGAAGAACAACAAAAAAAAAAAAAGAAAAACAAAAAAAAGTCGCTGAGTCTTTCCTTGTGCCCCTTTCAAAATGATGTGAAATAATATGTAGAATGTTTACATATATATTATATTTTTAAATCTGTAACATCAAATTCTTTGTGCCCTGGTTTCTTTTTCTGTTCGGAGAGGAAGAAAATAGCTTCATTTATACAAAAGAGTTCGTTATGTACAAGTTTGTTAATTAAATATAAATGGCGCGGGGAAACG